AAGTTTAACCCAAAAGGGTTTTCTGTATTGTTATGCTGGTATTTACTAAGAAAAATGTTTATAGTTTGTGAATATCGTAGTTTTCATAATTTAATGTTTTAGTTGTAACGCCTTTTTTAGAAAAATCTTGTTTCGGTAAGTTATTAACTTTGTTTCTGCTGTTTGTTATTTAACCCCATCACAACCAGTGAGCACCTGCATATAAAATTTCCAAATTTAAGATAAATAATAATTTTAAACTCAAAACTATTTTAAATTGATATTTTGCAGTTTGTAAGATTTTTATAATGTAATTTGCACGAATAGTGTTCGAGTTCCAGAGAGGCTTGCATTTATCAATGTTTTTGAATTTTTTACCCATCACAAAATATAGGTTTCAGTTTGCTAAGACACTATCAACCCTTGACAATATGGTTATCCACATCTTGTTTTCCTACTCTGTTAGTAATTTTATTACTACAACTCTTCATTGCTAGTCTTTAATGATATCATAGCATGTGACCTGAACAATTACTAATAAGCTCAGCTTTGAAAGTAGCTACAGGCAAAGATTAAGTATGATTGGATAGAGCAATTTATAAGCTGTTCATATAAATGTAGAGTAAATACAGTACTTTGAGCATTCATTTGTGATTTCTAAAGATACTGACTTCCTGCTACTTCTCTGGGGTTGGACAAACAGAACAAATATGAAGTTTAGGAAACTTAGAAGCAAACTACACACCTGGGACATTTTTTATAGTTTTTTTAGTTTTTTCATTGCAGAAAATATTGTGTTATTAAAACTATATGTGTGAAAGCTACAGAATTTTCTATTTTAAGAACAAACATCTGGTAAGCTTAGTTAGGTTTGGTAAATATGGTAAATGATGGTTAAGTATTATGATGACTCAACAGTACTGTTCAATACATAAAGAATTAAGTTTATCCTTTTCAGAATATTTGAAAAGAAAATGTTTATTAGATATAAATTGCTCTTAACCAAGAATACTGTTACCAAAAATCATGATATCTAGTCTGAGAAAGGTCAACAAATAAATGTTAGTCAGTTTCTGCCATGTTTTTTTATTTATAGCCAGAAGGGCTAACTACTGAAGTTGGCAAAATAAAATAAAGTATCAAAAGAAATGTGTTAATAAATATCAAAGAAGTTGAAACTGATTGAATATATGAAAAGGAGCTATCTGATCAACAATGAAATTGAAATTTTAAGAAATAGGAATATTTTTAATTTATTTGAAACTGTGTCTTACAACAAAAATTTGAAAATTTCACAACCTAAAAAAATAAGTACGAAATCAAATTCTTTAAAGCCAAGTTGTTATTTAGTAAATTTTAGTTGAGTTTCCCGTATTTTAGTTAAGTGTTTCTACTGTGAGAGTATTTGTGACGCAGCTTTAATCTAGAATAAATTTAAATGTTGAAAATTATGGAGAAATTTTGTTTGTGGTTGACCCAGAAGCTAGTGAAGATGTTTTAGTCTATACATTTTGTAGTGAAGGTGAGAAACAGTAGTTATTGTACCTTTTGCTTTTTTATATATAAGTTGTTGTAAAACTAAAGGATCCATAGGGTTGATTGTTAGTTACTATAACATAGAAGGGAAAGTGTTACAATCAACATCATAAGTAACAGTACTGGAACAATGATTTTTTCACTAACTTAATTTGTGTAACTATAAATAGTGTTTTTATAAAAGCAAGCCAGGTCTGATGATTATGCAGCTTCTGTGGGTAAGTTTCCAGTTTGATTTTATGTTCATTTTAAAATTAAGTATTTGAAATGTTTCCTGTGTGAATTGTTAGAGGTAGACATGGTTTATATTTGTAGTTATCCATCACTCAAATGAAACTTTTGATTTTTAAAAAATTGTGGATACGTTAGTAGAAGTGTACTGTTTGTTGTAGTATGATTGTATTTTATAAATTAATGTAAAGAATATTGTAATTGTTATTCAAGCGCATACAGTATAAGCTATGATAGACATCTAAAAAGGCATAATTGTATATAAATCTAATAATAAATGAGTTAAATTTATTGTATACTTAGAAAGTATTTTTAAATTAACAATATAACTGATATTTTAACAGCAAGTGAAAAACTCGCTTATTTTTACTAATAGTCTTCCAAAACATTTACATACATCGAATGATGTATTTGACCCTTGCAATAAAAAATAGATATATTTTTCAGTTTCAATTTTATCCATTCTGACCTGTGTCGTGTATATCCACCATAATTTAAGGCCCTTCACCAAACTTGTTTAATCTTTTAGAATATCTTTAATGTCAATTTGAAATATGCCGTTTCTTAATTGGTATATGTGTTTAATTTTTCTATTGTATATTAACAAGAACAAAGAAAAACAATGATAGGCATAATATTGTGGGCTTAAAATCTTTAGTTTTCGAAGCTGTTAGTACAGAAACCTGTACAACACTCAAGTTCTAAAACTGCATGAAATTTTTCAGTACAGGTGAAGAAACATTCATTTTGTAATAAGTAAATGCA